TCGACATATTGTTATTGTATAACTAAATGTAATTAACATCCATAAAATGTAATTTTTATGCACGCCCACGTGAGGATATTTACCATTGACAAAACTGTTTAGTAATATTTATCATTTACTAAAGCGGAAAACTTTACAATATGTGCTTGTTGTTTCAGACATCGTCTTCCGATGGATCTCTAGCTACTTTCCTTTCACGTATCCATCTTGGGAAATTGAAATATTTCATCGGGACTCGTGGCTGGAAATTTTGGGCTGCGGAATCGTACAACAGCAAATTCTGGTGAATGGTACGTTGGTTGCAGACTTTCTTCATGTAAGTTACTCGTAATCAGACAATTTTAGCTCAGTTTCCTGACAAAGTCGGTTGGGCATTCGGCTTAGGTCTCGAACGCCTTGCGATGGTGTTGTACGGGATTCCAGATATCCGTCTCTTTTGGAGCACCGATTCCGGATTTTCGTCTCAATTTGTCGGCTTAGATTTTCGAAAGTCTTATAAATACAAGGTAGGTATAACTGTCATGTTAAAAGCCTACGGTTTATTAGATTTTTTTATTATCATCATTAGTCGTAAACTTCTTAAGATTTCTGATCTTTGTTCAGTTGTCCGTTTCGAATTTTATGCTATATGCTGCCGCAAAGATTCCTAATCGACAGCAGGTATCCGTTTTACTTTTCCAGCCGCATGATGTGCTGGCCGCTAAGCATTCATTGACCACATTCTTTCCAGCATAATTAGTTGAATCTTTCAATGGTATTTGACTCTCTTCTACTTAATAGCTGAATCATGCCAATCTTATGTATCGGTACACCTCTGGTACTTTCGTGAGATACATAACGCGAGAAAGTGGTGACTTTATATGCGATCGTGTTATCGTATTCTTAGCAAATGTCGTAGCCATGGGGCACTCGTTTCCAGTCTGTACAGCAAATCAGACTTAGTAATGGTTATTTTTCACTATTATCCATTTGTCTGGCTTCAGACATGGCGTTTAAAATGGTGGGATCCCTACAAATGAGTGAATGATAACTGCCATGCTACGAAGTCTAATGGTAGGCGGTTGCCAGAAGGATTTTCAACAAAATCGGAAATTCCCGTTGGAACTGACGTGGCATCGAAAGTACTGAAGAATGAGTACGCATGTATTCGATCAAAGTGGAATGACTGTACGACACATGGCATCGATTTCGATGCAGTAGAATAAGTACAAGAAAAAGATTTATGAGTGACATACACACCCTGGCTTAATTCCTCTGTTCATGCAGATTTTTCATCACTATACTCCTAGATTCAATTGTGTCAATATTTTGCATTTTCATTATACAAAATGGTATATCGCTGATCAGCGAAGTAAGAAACGCAACCTTCCAGATGAAAAGCGGAAAAGCTCCCGGTAACGAGGGTATCAGAAATGAGCTCTTGAAAGCCGGTAGACACGAACTGTGGAAGGCACTTTCCGTTAGATTCAATCGCTACCTGACTGAGAAGACCATCCCTAGCAACTGGAAGGAATCGAGGACCGTTCTGCTCCGTAAAAAGAGCGATAAAGAAGATCTGAAGAATTATCGCCCGATCTGCTTGCTCTCCCACGTATACAAGCTG